CTTTGATCTTCCCGATCTCGGTCCATCCAAATTCAGTTAATAAAATAAAGGGAAGGAATGGATGACGTTAAAAATGCACCCACCATGGGAGTCCGCGTCCGGATCAGGCTTATTTCCATCACTGTTTTTTGACTTGTTCTTCTTAGGCCTGTCAGCTTTGAATCTGGAAACGAAATTATAGTGGAGGATAGAAGTCGACATCTTCTCATCAATACCGGCTCTTTTTCTATTAGATAAATTTAAAGACAATAGAGAAAATGATAAACAAAATAAGATGAAAACAATGTGCCAATAAAAATCTAAACCTACAGGCTTTTCTTGTTCCCTTTGAGCTTTAAAACACCTCCTCGCACTGCTTTGTAATCGTCTGACATAGCTGAAAATGTGGGAGTTTTGCAATTTAGCATGAACTGCAGAGAAGAATCAAGGAATGGTCAAAACATTTACGAAAAAAGAAAGTACGCTCCAATCGGAATGTTGGGCACGCTGCCAAACTACAGTACGCGTTGGCTGAGTATTCGATTCTCACCGCAGCTGTCGGCATGGTTCCGGATTTCATTTGATTGGAGCTGTCGCTCATTCTTTCCTTTTGCTATGTTTATTTTTCCTTTTAGTTTCTTATTTCTCGTCCAGTTTTGTTGGAATCGAGGTAGTTTCTGATCTGATTCAAATGGAACAGCAGCTTTTATTGTTTTGCTAGAGTTGTAGATGTTTTTTTGTGAGCGGTTCGAGTTTTTAACCTAAACTTTCTATAGGTGCGTAGCATGGTTGAATTCTTACTTTGCTAGTGCGTGTGTCATTGATGTGGTATTCAGTCCATTTGCCTTTATCTATTGTTTTGTTTCTGCTCTAGATTAGGGCAGACCAAGGCTGTATTCACATAATTCTGGGCTTCATCAAGCTCTGAATCTCACCGAAACTGTTAGGAACCATACTGTGAGCATTCATAGGCCTTGTGGCATAGTTATAAGTTGTAGGGGGTTAATGCCCAAAGCCTCCTTTAATACTTTCCAGAGCGCGTGATAGACCTGTACAGCCATACATTTTTCCCCTGTGACATGTACTATGTTTTCCTAGCTTTTTGGTGTTCCACAGTTGCCAACACGTGTTTTTGGACCCGGAAGACGCCTACCTTGTAAGAAATTGGAAATGCAGGCGGGATTATCGACTATCCCAAAAAATGGTCAAATGAGGCCGCGTTCACACTCTACTTCGCTGCGGACGGTTGGGCGTGTCAGCCAGTATGAGTGTGCACAGCGTCAAGGCCGTTCTCTGCCTTCTTGTTTAAGCGCGCATGCGACAAAAAGTGGTAGAAAACGAGTAATACGATCGATATGATACAGTCATATCATTTGTTCGCTTTAAAAACTGGTGGAGAACGGGTTTGGCACCGCGCCAAACGCAGCCGCACTGACACGCCCAACCGTCCGCAGAGAACTACACTATACTTGCGACCATGAAGAAGGAGAAATCGAAGAGAAAATGCCATGCACATGAAGAGCGGTTATGATGACGCAATTCATGAAAAATTGCTCTCAGAAAATCAATTTCCAGAATCTGCAGGGTTTCCATAAATTTCTAGCC